TCCTGGTTTTCCCCTTGCTGAGGTGTCGGTGGGAGGTGCTGGCGGTGCCGGTTTGGCCCCTCCCAGTCCGTCCGGGAGTTTTCAGCCGCTGTTGGTATCGCCTCAGTGTGTGACACGTCTGATTTTCTTACATCCTGCGGCTCCGTGCCCGTTGCCCCCCGAGGGTGCTCCCAGCTGCAGTCCCAGCCCTGCACACTCTTCACCCCCTCCAGGAGGTCCTGTTGAACAGCTCTTCCAAACTCCTGTCTCTCCTAGAAAATGACTGTTCCTTAAGGCGTCTTTGCAGGGTTCACTGGCAGTGGAGTGTCCCCTGGATGAGTTAGTCACTTGTAGATAAGCTCAAATGGCCTTAAAGCAGCAAAACTGCAAACAAAATGCCTCAAAGGAATGGTTTACAGTACTGAACCTTCTGCCCTCAGCTGGGAGAGCTTCTGGCATTTCACAGCTCAGTGGGAGAATGTGTTTCCTGGACATTTAAGGAGGAGGACTTGAAGAGCTGAATTGTGGCTTCTGTTGTCACAGCTTGTTCAGTATTGTAACAATCAACAATTTCATACGAGATTAGCCTTGAAGTCATGTCCTTTTTCAGTCTAGTTTCAGTTCTTAAACCTTTTGAGGAAATGAAACACAACTGTGGTACTTCCCCAGCTCTAAAAGTTCTGCTTTTTCCAATTTAAATGGCTAATTAGTACAGAGCAACTTAACGTTCTGCCCTTACTTTATTTCTAAAGTGATGGGAGAGATATAACTCTATAGAGATAACTCTATATCTCTCTGTTCGTGTCTCTATCTACCCCATCCATCTCTATCTCCATCCTCATCCTCTGTATCCATCTCTCTCTCCATCTGTATCCAACTCTATATCTCTGTAGAGATATATCTATATAGAGACATAGACATATAAGTGATAGCATTAGATATAACTTATAATTAAGGGTCTTCATTATCTATAAAGCTCATGTTAAATATGGTTAAATGGTTTTATTTCTCTTTGCAGTGCCAGGTTGGCCACTCTCTTTGGCCTGGATCAAACACCTTCAGGCCAAGGAAATGAATTCTTCCAGTACACTGCACCAAAGCAGCCCAAGAAAGGTCAGACAGTACCTGGTGAGTAACTGAGCTTGAGTCTGGGGAGCCAAGTCAGCAGCACATGTGCGTGGGGGCAAGGGCCCTCCTGAAGAACAGCAGTGCAAATAATTTGCAGAATGTTAAGGGGTTGGAATGGAGCTTAGAGATCACCCAGCCCCAACCCCCTGCCCTGGGCAGGGACACCTCCCACCAGAGCAGGTTGCTCAAGGCTTTAGCCA